GGGTAAGAGGTAATATACAAAGCTCAGTTCAAGATACCTTTCAAAATCAACTCTGGCCAAATGTTTTTAAAAAATTCTGTAGTTTCAGTCTTGTAAAGCAGGGGTCCCCAACCCCGAGTCCATGGACCAGTACCGGCCACGGCATGCCAGCAACCGGTCCACACAAACAAGCAAAGCCTCATTCATGAGATGCAGGCAGCACACAAAATCATGTACTCTGCGGTCTGTGGAAAAACCTTTCTCCACAGAACCAGTTACTGGTAGCCAGAAGGTTGGGGACCTCTGTTGTAAAGGAATATGGAGATAATTTTGAAGAAGGAATGCAAGAACAGTTAAGGAAACATCTTCTGCTCTAGGAAAGAAGCTGGGTGAGAAGGAAACTCAAGGTAATCCCATCTTGATTCTGTTTTTAGTATAAGGGAAGGCTGGATTTCAAGATTCTGTTATTATACTCTACAACAATAAAGCAAAATTCCAGCAGTTTTTCTAGTGTCAGTTTTATGACCCAACCTGTTTTGAAAAGCTGACAAGTTCTTTGAGGCATGACAGATAATATTTTGCAGCTTACAACATAAAAATAAATGCACCATCATTTATCCCTTGTACTAACTGCAGGAGCTTCTGACAAAACCCACTTTGCACATTAACTCTGAATAATCCAGTATACAATAAAACATTTTCCAATAAAGACATTATTAGCATCACATAGCAATAGTAAAGTTGCAACAGAGAAGGATGAGGATCATCTTGTTTGTACTACCTAAGCCTAGATAGTTAGGTTTGGGTCTCAGCTGATAGCAAAAATCCTAGGAATCAATACCAGGTTTCAGCATGTTTCTCTTCTGAAAAGAAAAAGACAAATATTACAACTCTCCTCCCTACCCAATTCTTACTGTAACCCCTTGCATTCTTCACTAAAAGTTATTCTGGTGGGTTGGAGATCCTAGTCAAGCAGAGATAAAGGCTTTAAAAAGTATCTTTCCCCCCTTTTACCAAGGGATCCTGTATAGCGGTATTTCTCGACCTTGGCCACTTTAAGAGAGGTGGACTTCAATTCCCAGAATTCTCCAGACAGCTTGCTGGCAAAGGAATTTTGGGAGTTGATGGACGTTCAGTTCTTTTAAAGTGGCCATGGTTGAGAAACACTGCTCTGTAGGGCAAGCCATACATGGAAGGAGGAGCCCTTTCCTTTCCAGTAGGCTAAGATTCAATCATATTTTGCATGTTTCAAAATTAATGTATAATAGCAATAGCACTTAGATTTATATACCACTTCAAAGCGCTTTCAGCCCTCTCTAAGCAGTTTACAAAGTCAGCATATTGCCCCCCAATAATCTGGGTCCTCATTTTTACCAATCTTAGAAGGATGGAAAGCTGAGTCAACCTTGAGCTGGTGAGACTCAAACTACCAAACTGCTGGCAGCCGGGAATTAGCAGAAGTAGCCTGCAGAAGTGCATTCTAACCACTGTGCCACCAGGGCTCTTCCAATGTTTGATGTTTCAAAAATAATGTATAAAAATACCCCCCCCCCCTCCAAATGATCAGGGATCCACATAGCTCATTCCCTGTATATGAGTAACTCCTTGCCATAGAATCAAAGAGCTGGAAGACATGGAGATTTTTAGTCTAAGCCCCAAGGTAAGAGTCCTTATACCTTCCTGGATAAATGGCTGTTCAATTTTTTCTTGAAAACCTCCAGTGATGGAGCATTCACAACTCCGAGAAGCAAGCTGTTCCATTGATTAATTGTTCTGTGTCAGGATATCTCTCCTCAGTTCCAGGTTCTATATGAATTACTGTTAAAATGATTTCCAAGAATTTATTAGTGGTAACAGGTTAAAGGCATCTTTATGCAGAAACACCTTCGACTCACAAAACTAATATTGAAGAATCAAACTGTTTGATGGTAGAAAGTAAAGAAAAAGGTTACCTGTGTCCAGTCATGTTTGACTCTAGGGGGATGGTGCTCATCTCCATTTCTTAGCCGAGACAACCAATATTTTCTGAAGACATTTCCATGGTCATATGGCAAGCATGACTATATGCTGAGGCACAGAATGCTATTACCTTCCCACCGAAGTGATACCTATTTATCTACTTGATTTGCATGCTTTAGAACTGCTAGGTGGAGTGGGACAAGTAACAGGAGCTCACCCATCACACTGCGATCGGTTCTCAAACCCAGGTTATCAGCTTTCCAACTTTTCAGTGTCTTTAAATCAACAACTCCAGTCACTTTTGGGTTTAAGATTTTCCCTGTATATAACCACAGAACTGAGAGTTAAATTCATCTCTGTCAGCTAGGACCCAGTCGTATAGCCAGGATAAAATGTAATCTATCCGTTCTTGAACAGTCAGAAAAGGATGCTGGTTATAGAATATATTTCCAACTTTGATTCAGCTTGTTTCATTCCACCATCCATTTCACTATAAGAAAGAAAAACATGAAAATGTGCCTGCATTTTGGAATTTTCCAAGAGTGACCGTTATGTACATGCTTTGCCTTATACACCCATTCTCTGCAAGTGATTTTAAGTAACACAGATTTTTATGTCTTATTTTTATGTCTTATTTTTTACCACATATACTTTTCAATGCTTTTCTGGTACTGTACAACATTTTATTTTTACAGAGATTTAATGGGAATACAGCACTTCAGTTCAAAGAATACAAACTTCAAAGAAAAACTGAGTTTTGTTGTTCTTGAAGAAAGCTACTATTCCAACTGAAATCTAAATTTTCTCTTTCATCACTAGTCCTAAACAATTTTGACTTCAGTCTGCTTTTTTGTTGAACAGAGTAGGCTAACATTTAGTTATTGCTTTTATTTCACATAGTACAGTATCATAAAAAATGGCAAGATCCAAACTCTCAGCTAAGCTGTTTATCTATTAAAATAGTCTTCTATGATTTATTGAATTTAGATATTTATTTTAAACTCATTTTGCAGTGTTTGGACATGGAGGGAGAATTATATATCAAAAGAGAGTTTCAATTTGCCTTCAAATGAATGAGAATATACCAAATGGGCCATTCACAGTCCATAATCCACATCCTTACAGACAGAGCTAGCAGAGAAATCATTGTGATCTAAAGGCAGGTACCGAGCAGGTTTTAAAATAGGATGATGAAAGAGAACCAAATTGGATATTGTTTTAATAACATACAGCTATTTAGTTTGTTTTCCATTAATCAATTACAAATGAGGAAACGAATCTTCTGGGACGCAGTGTCAAAAGAGAAGATACTTATATTTTTTGTCCTCCGCATCTGAGAATATATCTTCAAAGGCAAGTGGAAATATAATCCCTCAGTGAGGTATTACCTTGATGTGGTTGTGGTTTTGCATGCTCTGAGGAAAATGTCAGAGGTTCAACAATATGGACAAGTCTCTTAGAGAAGCCAGACAAAGTGTGTCTCCCCTATAAACAATACAACAGACATAATTTACAGAAATCTATACTGGATCAATCATCAATACAAACTGTGCTAGGTATTGGAGTTCCTGATATCGGAAAACAAGGCATGGGTTCCAGAAAGAACATCTACAATCAGAAATAGCAGAACAGGGGCTAAGCAGATCAACATCGATTTATAATATGAAATAAAGAATTTACAGTAGCAGAATTGGAAGAATTGCAAAGGTTTATCCAGTATAAAGAAACTGAAACCTTGCCAACAGAAGTTCAGGCTGCTGAAGGAAACCAGAGAGATTTGGCAGTAGAGGAAGCCAGCACAGTCACTGAATTGTTTTCATGCTCAAACTAGGCACCCTGTCCTCAGCTTTCTCTTCAGAAAGAACAAAGCTCTCTAACTAAAAATGGAAGAATTGAAAAAAATAATAACTGAGCATCTAGAGCAGTACAAAAACAACAGCATAAGGTTGCCTGTATTGAAGCGGGTTACAAAAAAAAACACAGCTAGCACAAAAAGTAAACGATGCCAATACTATAATATCAAATATAAGCACCAGTTCACTGCAAGAAGCAAGTCACTAGTATACAATATGGCTGCAGTTATAAATTGAATACCTTGTATGTAAAATAAACAAAGAAGAGAAAAACAAAGAAGAAACAGGGTGCCACCAAAATGAAAGACCAAGTTGGAAAATAAGTTCAGCAAGCTATGATCAAATGCAAGCAAGCAAGAACAGGTGAAGGAAAAGAAGCTGAAGAATAACAAGAGCAAAGAATACCTGATCAAAAAGCACCACCTAGAAATAAGGAAGATGAAGGAAGGATTAGAAATAAAAAAGCAGCAGGTTAAAGCTATAGCAAGAAACCAGCAAATAAAGAAGCTTGAATTGCACACTAGAAGCTTTGGACTGAACAGGAAGAACAGAAAAATAATGACAAGGAATCGTGCTCTTTTATTCATGCAGCAGCGTTGACAGACTCTACTTACCAAGGAGCATAGGTGAGCATGGAATGCTGCAGGTATCCTAGACAATTGCAGAAGAAAAAAAGAGCATTGGAAGAATACCTGAAGGATAGTGAAGAAGATGCACTAAAGCTAGTATACCATGAAGGCTTATTGAATACTGTACCAAAGAGATAACAACAAGGCCTGGAAATAGCTAAGAGTGGGAAAGTTGAAGAAAGAGACTAATTCTGACTGCACTAGACCAAATGTTAAGAACAAAGGCATACAAAGCCAGAATAGAGAAGACAGCAACAGACAGCAAATTCTAGGGAAAGCAGCTAAAGAAACAGTGGACCACCTAGTTGGCTCCTGCAGAAACTGGGACTTTACATTCAACAAACAAACACCTGCCACATAATAACCCAGACTTAAAATTGTTGATAAGAAAGACAAAGATGTCTGGATAGTGAAAGTTGCGGTACCTGGAGACAGCAGAATAGAAGATAAAGAACTGGAGAAAATCACAAAGTACAAAGCCCCGCAAATAGAAATAGAACAACTGTGGCAAAAGAAAGCAAAGATACTACCACTGATGGGATTCAAATATGTGAACAACCGGTTCTGTGTGGATGCTGCTTCCAGAAGTCTATTCTGAGCCTGGGCAACAAAAAATTAGCTACCAGTTCTGCCGAAATAGTGCAAACTGGCTGAATCCCACCACTGGATACTACCAATAGTAATAGGAACCTTGGGTGCAAACCCAAAACTACTGAAGCACCATTTGAACACTATCGGCATTGACAAAATCCTTTTCAGTCAATTGCAAAAGGCAGCTTTATTCAGAACAGCTTACATCCTGCAACTATAACTGTAACACCATAAAAGAACAACAGCCTCTATCTATCCCAGGACTCAATAAAGTGGTCACAAATGCCAGATTCAGTCTAAACATTTGGCTGACTATGTGACCAACCAAATATTTAAAAAAAAAACAACTACGGAGCCTTATTTCCTAGCCAGGGAGAAAGGTTTGCTTTGATTATTTGAGAGAGGAAATAGATTAGTCTCTTTTCATGGCATGCTGTAAGGTAATATTCTCTCCCTCCCAATTTGAAATTAATCAGAGGAAAACAAGAAGCTGATTGCAGCTGAAATCTATATAACAAAAGGACTTGTAGATTGATCTGGAGCAGAGGTATCAAACTGCTGGCCCACAGGCCGGTTGCATCATGCTGAGGCCACACCCACCCAGCTCCGGCAATGCAAAACAAGTCATGATACATCGCCACACGTCACGTAAGGTGGAGAGTTTGCTACCCGTGATCTGGAGTCTCCAGGAAAAACAGTTTCATGCAAAATAACCTATATTCAAATAAAAGGCTATAGGAAACTAATATTCTACTAAAACTTAATGTACACTATGATCTCAAGATTTTTGTAATACCATTTACAGTAAATCAGTTCATTGCTACCTGCAACTTTATTAGGTGTACTGCAGTTTATAAGAAAAAGAAAGAAAAAGACAGAGTTCCTTAAAGTCACTTAAAAAGATCACTTATGAAAGAAATGTGATCTAGAGACTTCCTGATCCACAGCTGCATTGCTTAGCTTCTATTAACACTCCAATCTCATCTTCACACTAGATAAAATATTCCAAAAACTTATTCCTTTCTGCATCCATTTCCTCAGTTTCCACCTCATATTGCTTTATGTTGACAAAGTACTGGACAAAATAATCCCCCAGTGCTTCCCTGATGCACTCATCTTCTTGGAGAGCCACAAGAGCATCTTCCAGCTTCAGAGGGATCAAGCCTGCTTTCGTCAGAGTGGAGCTCTGGATCTTCCCTGAGGCCTCCTGGAACATGAGCTTTTTCTTTACCCCATCCAGACCTGCGGCAATCGTAGCCGAGAGTACCAAGTAAGGGTTGGCTGTGGCTGAGCCCAGCTGATTTTCTATCCAGGTCCCCTTATCACTATGATTTTGGATGTTAAATGCACAGCTGTTGTCATTCCATGCTCCCTTGGCAATCACAGCCTCTTTGGAGCCTTTGCTACACCCACTGTAGCATTTGCGGCAGGTGACAGTGGGGGCCATCAGGCAGCTGAGAGCTGCAGAATGCATCAGTAGCCCAGCCAGCCAATTCTTCCCTATTTCAGTCAGCTCTGGGACTCCAGAACCCAAAGCAAACAAATTATACCGTCTGCTGCTGTCCCAAAGGCTATGGGTCAGAATACCAGAATTATAGGATCCATCTTCAGTGAAAAAACTGGCAATATAATTGTACTTTTTGGCTACTTCTTTAATGCCTGTCCGAAAAGTGAAGGCACTGTCTGCTGCACCCAGGCCAAACTCTGGGTGAAAAGAGATCTCCATCTGGCCAGGCCCAGCGGAGGATGAGAAGCTTTCAATGTTTGCCCCAGCGTGATACATGCCATCCATGAGTTCCTGGATGAAGGACTGATCATGATTGCTGAGTAGGGTGGCAGCGGGAAAAGAGATGGTCTTTGAATTGACAATTTCAGCGATGCCGTAGACGCAGAATTCGTAAGTGAAGGCTGAATACAGCGCAAAACCGTTATCCCGGAGCTGGCTCAACTGCTGCTTGGCAATATGCCGGGGTGAGGTCAAGAGAGGATTACCCATCACCATAAAGGGATCACAGATCACTCTTGCTGTTTGTTCTGCCCATGGCAAAATCCGGAATGTTGATAAATCGGGTCTCAGGATAATGTCACAGTTAAAACTGCTTGTAGGAACATGGCCTGGCTCACGGTCCCTCAGATTCAGGGTCAGCTCAAGGTAGCCTTTTGGCATGGCAACCCCATGGATTGCTTTGGTCTAAACAAAAGGAAGAAAAACATATGGCTGTGCTTTGGATGGATTAATCATTCCTAAGTAGCACTATCACATCAACAGATTACATGTCTGAGGGAAACTTCTGATGATTCAGAAGGAACCGTAACTAATTGTCCAAGGGAAAAGCCATACTGTCAACGCTGCAAATATTGTATATTCTTGCTTTTGACAATATGCAGAATTGTCTGGTAACTATGGGGTTAATAAAGAGCAGAAGGGGTGTTGGGGGTAAAGCCTGGGAAAGAAAGAGGAAGAAAACATTTGACCTTCACTCTAATTGGATAATGTGAGATATGACAGCTAATTTAGGGAGGGAACATGCTGATAATTTAACTGCTCAGAGGAAGAGAACTTAGATCCTACCATCCCTCCATTGTGCCTGTGCTGACATTTTGTAACATAAAAGACTGTTAGGAAAATAAATGCCTGGAAGTTCTTTGGAATGTTTCATTAGCTGGAACCACATCATGTACACTCTGTAGGAGTGTATGCAGTGTATATAGTGTAGGAGTTGACGTGGAATGTGTGTATATGTGTATGCTTATGTGTGTGTGTTTCTGTGTATATGTGGGGTGGGGTGGGGTGACAAAAGGCTCAATAAACAAGCCATAATGCTGCTAAGAAAGGGGCCTCAGGTCTCTGGGTCCAGACCTCACAAGCAAGATAGTTCCCAAATGAGCTTCCAGACAGCAGCAAATAATAGGATAGAGACATAAAGGTCTGATAACACAGGGGTCTCCAACCTGTGGGCCATGGCCCGGTATCTGTTGGCCAGCGGGCTGCAGAAATGGCTAGTGAGTGCCATTTGTGCATGCATGGGAGTGCTAGCACCACCGCCAGCATCATGTGGTCACTAGCATTTGCGCATGCGTGTGATTGCTAACGGCCTGTTTGCAGGTGCTAGCGGCCCGCTTGCATGGGGGTGCAGGCACCAGCACTGTCACCAGCATTGCTGCAGGTACACACAATCTGCTTGCACTTGCGTGCAGATGCTGGCATCACCACCATGCGCGTACCCATTTGCGCATGCACACAAGTGCACATTTCTCTGCTTCACCCTTTTCCTCTGGAAAGGTTGGAGAACTCTGTGATAACACACCAACTAGCATGTCTACAGTGTTGCATTATGGAACTAATGCTGTTCGGTACATTTTTGACAAAGAATACTAAAATCAGCAATTGGGCCAAGCTTCTCTATGAATGCAGATATTCATTTTAATTTATGATTTTATTTTTTAAAAATATGTTCAGCTACAAAGAACCTGAATAAGTTCAATTTTATTGTCGTCTTAAGTGCTTTCTGGGTAGAAAGGAAGATTAAAAATGGAAATGATGAAGATGATGATGATGATGATGATGATGATGATGATGATAATAACAGTATTGCAATGTTATATGTGAGTTTAAAATTTGAGTTTCCACATGCCTAGAGTATTTCATTTCTCAAGGCTTATTTTGTTGTATTTTGCTAATATTAGGGAGGTAGAAACAATTTTAAAGGAGGGAATGGCAGTGAAGAGAGAGGGGATATCAGCTGTGTATATCCCAACTGAAACAATACTTTTGTAATTTTTAATGAGATCCCTGATAAGATCATTGAGTCAAAAGTATAGAATTACTTTCCAGCAACATTTTCTCTTTGAAATCTTTTGTAATGTCCTCCTTGAAAGATGGTGATAGTATTTTAAATTTTATGGAGGAAATTCCTAAGAAGTCATGTACGCTGACTGTGATGGAACTGTTTCCATCAAATTTGGAACAGTATGTAGGAATGAATTTGGGAGACATGGAGAAGAGCTGCAGCTAGGGTAATGGGCAGATAAGAGGCACCTTAGCCCGCAGCAAGAATGTGGGCATGGCAAACATCTCAGAAAGTTTCTTGGACTGTAAAGGTAAACAGACAGAAATGTACTTTCAGACTTGCAAGATTCTCTTAATGTAACTTTACAATAAAATAGAGTTAGTTCATCTGAATGTGCTTCTTTGTCTGTATCACCCTGCAAAGCCGATAAAAATTTTACCCAATATACCACACCCCCAAAAATGGCAATACGCAGTAAATTATTGAGACATCCAAATGCCTTACAGTACTAAAGGCCACTCTATATAAAATAAATATTTTTTTTCCATCAGATTTCAAAGAATGTCTTACTGGTAAGTCTGAATTTAAAAACAGAGGTTTTTACTCATTGCTGTTCCTGGCCTTTGAATAATATTTGGGAGTCAGTGAATATTTGATTGAACTTAAAATAGGTTGAACCATTGCAGATGTGTTTTACTGCAAGATCTTTAAACTTTTCAACGTAGCCCATGTAGCAGCAGACTGCCTGACATTCTGAGTTTTATTATTCAAATTGCAAAACTAGTTAAGCCAGGTAAAAGGCATCTTTTTAAAACATTGGCAATATAGACATTAAGTGGCTTTGGAATGAGGCAATTCCCTACAGCATCATTTATCAGTGCTTGGCAAAATGCACCCCCTTTCCCCCCCCCCCGCAAAAAATGCAAACGCTCCCAATCCACTACCTGTTGTGTAATACTTGCTTTACAGTGTGCCCAGCATAAATTAATCTTGAATTTAGTAGCAACGGCATGTTGATTGCATAAGACATTAGCTGAATCACAAGAACAGATCATGTGGGAAGGGATACATTGTGAAAAGGTGCATGTCCCTGACTTTTGAAAAAGGAAGCTTTCACACTGTTTGTGTTCCTAACAGTTTTGTAAATGACTCTCTGTTTCCCAGAGTATAAAAGACAGCCACCTTTGGAAGGTGACCTCAGGTCCCTCGGCCCAACACATGGACAGAGGTTGGTTCAGAGGCACTAAGGCAGGCCACATTTGAGGGAAAACCTCACCATGACCTGGGAACCTCACCACTCCAAATCTGTGTGTTATCAAAGAAGATGCTGCATTGCTTATTTTCTACCAATGCAATGAAATATCTATATATATATATTTCTCTCTCCCTTGTGCTAAGAATGCTTCCTAGGGTGTTTCTCTCATCCTTCACTGAATGGGAGTGGACAGACTGCCCTGTTTCCATTTCCCATGCCGCCTATTGGACATGGCAAAATCTAGCCAGTCCAACAAACAGTAGCATGGTAAACTCAGTACTTGAGAACAGTGAATCTACCCTATCATATCAGTATTTTAGTAAGTGCACACAGTAACGCTCAGACTGTGGGATTTTATCTCACCTTCTAAAACTAGCACTGTAATAACAATAATCATAGTGTTATTTGTTATTAACCATACACCGATATACAGTAACACCACTGGGTATAGCCAGTATTGTTATCATTAATGTCATGGTGTGGCTGCCCTATTGTCAGTGCTATGCAGTTTAATACTAGGTGTTTAAGAGCCGATTTGGTCTAATGGTAAAGGCACCAGGCTAGAAAGACTGTGAGTTCTAGTTCCACTTTAGGCATGAAAGCCAGCTGGATGACTTTGGTCCAATCACTGTCTTGCAACCCAACCCACCTCACAGTGGTTTTGTGGTGCGGGAAATAGGAGGAGGAAAGAGCATTAGGAATGTTTGCTGCCTTGGGTTATTTATAAAAATGATGGAGGCAGGATAAAAATAAATAAATAATAAAAATGTATTTTCTAAATGTATAAATGCACATGTGTAGAAGACGGAATACATCCATAAAGCAGGCCATAAAGATGGAAGGGTTGTCTGAAATGGTATAGGGTTTCCTGCCTGAGCAGGGAATTGGACTAGATGACCTCCAAGGTCCCTTCCATCATCATCATCATCATCATCATCATCATCATCATTATCATCAATATTATGGATCATCGCACAGTCAGCCAGATGTTCAGACTGGATTTGGCATTTTGTCTACCTATCGAGTCCTTACCCAGGACCTGGGATAGGCAGATGTGGATGTTTGATGGTATTACAGATATCGTCGCAGGATGGAAGCAGTTCCTAGTAAGGCCGTCTTTTGCAATTGACTAATAGCGAATTTGTCAATGCCAATGGTGTTCAAGGCGCCTATCATTATTGGTACTACCTTTGCTTGCTTTTGCCACAGTCTTTCTATTTCTATTTGTAGGTCTTTGTATTTTGTTATCTTCTCCAGTTCTTTCTCTTCTATTCTGCTGTCTCCAGGCACTGCTATTATTATTATTATTATTATTATTATTATTATTATTATTATTATAGATGTCAACTGCTACACCTGTGGAAAAGTATCAGATTGAAGTTTACTATGAAAATAGAAGAAATGGTTCTGAAAATAAGAAAAAAAAATTCTTAGAATAAGAAATGGTTCCCATGTGAACTGAATAAGCCAATGGCATTCCAATGGAAAAGTAGTAAGCAGTAGGAAAAGACTGCCACACTGGGACTAGCCAAGCTTTGCTGGAAATTATAACACTAGAAAGAAATTATAGTGTTTGGGAGCTATCATACAGAATGAGGTACTGAAGTGTCCTACTCAATACTCCTGAAATCCAGCCTTGCTAGCCAGATTGTGAATTGGGTATGCACAGTTGTGTGAGCATGATTTAATAAAGCTTTTAATTCAGAAAGTGAATTACAAAGCTGTATTCCTGCTTCTTCGTGATCTGAGTCTCTGGATAAATAAGAATAAAAAGTAATCCTATTGCATTTTATGACTTTTGGTATCACAGTAGCAGCAATAACAGTATTTTAAAGTAATGATTTATACTTCCATGTCAAGTTTAATTTTCTTAAGATGACATTAATTTTAAACAAGTATAAGTTATTTTAGAAAACTGAGCTGGGCAAACACAGAGAGAATGATAACAAAAGCTATTTGCTTATTATCTTTTAGCAGTACTAAATTCCATGGAAAACAGTTGATATCTGTTAATGCCTAAATGACATCAGTGAAATACTATAGCTCTAACCTTAAAGTTTAAAGAACAGAGCCTAATGAAGCAAGAGGTAAAAACAAAATAAAGTAAAATGTATTTTTCTACAGTTCAAAGGAAATATAGGATGA